GGTGGTCTCCCGAACCTGGCTCCTGTTATGAGACATTGAGTGGGAGAATCGAGAGCATATGGTAACAACTCACTCTAGGGAACAAATATGATTCTACTGGGCCATACTTCTTCTCGATCGACCTGAGAATATGCAGACCATGTGCCGTATTGCGAATGCCAGTGTGGGTTTGCGCTTGGAGCAGTGGGACGAGCCTATCCGCCTGTTCTGAACCGGGCTCGTCATTTGACGGCCGAGCACCTAGTACCGAGCTATTCGACAAAGACTGAGTTACTCCACACTTTATCGAACGATTTCGAAAGCAGCTTCGAGTAAGTGATGGGGACCGACTAGTAATCAACGACATGCTCAGTGGGCTGTATCTGCTATTCGATAGTAGAATATCAAGCGCAAGCTAGGCCTAGATTTGCGTGACAGAACAGAGTGCAGAGATCTCTCCGTGTGGTACAAACAGATATCGTTGAATCGCTGATGTCAGCCAATGGTTGAGCGCTTTTGCAAAATTAGAGCTAATTCAATTTTCGTGCAAGTAAAGTTGTACGACATTATACAAAAAAGTCCATAGTATCACACTGAGCGTCCGGGTTTCGTAAAATAAAAAAGTCTAATCGTTAAGAAAGCGTTCTGTGTTCATGGTGAATAGTTTGGGCGAGCCTGGCCGCTATACCCAGGGGGTGTCTCTTGCACGCCGACTACGTCCACTCTTCCAGCGTCCTGGTGGACTAGCACGCCAGAACCCGCAGGATAATACGATTGTGGCACATCTCCGCCGCTGTACGGGGGCCCATGATATGCTGAGGGAGGATAAGCGTGTGGGTCCACCCGCGACCGTGCCTCTCGCGCTTTCGTTATCGCAGCCGGATGCATCCTTGAACCGCCGCTCCCAGCCGAGCGAGGTGGAGGGTCCCCGAACGGGTCGTTTGCGTCAAACAGGAGCCCAGTCGAAGATGAGGCGCGGATATGAGTGGACTCGCGTGGGGACGAGGTTTGAATGCTATCAACATCTACGGAGCCCCCTCGCAAGTGTTGTGCCATAAGAGGATCGTTTTCGCTTACAAGGCTGCGTGTGTGGGTGTGAGAGTGGTGGGCGGCTGTCCCAGGAAGTACCTCATGGAATATGCTGCCGCTGGCGTTAGGACTGGCGCGAGCGCCAACCATACCATAGGGGTAAGGAGCTGGTCCTGAGGGCTCCGCCAAATCAAAATCATCTGTGTCCAGCATCTGGCGAGGAGCCTGAAGACGAGGAGCTTTGCGCACGGCAGCAAGCTTTCGTCGGCGCCGACCGAGGTAAAACAGTACAACGAGAATGCTGAGTAGCGCTAGTGTACCGCCAACGACGCCTCCGACTATGGCTGAGGTTCGAGCTGTAAGTACGGAAGTACCATTCGGGCTAGTTGCAAGTGTGGGTACAATTGTAGTAAACTGAGCGTTATGGCAGCAATAAGAAATAGCAACGTGGTATAATAATATCCAAAATACTTACCGTGGTTGGTGTACCATTGATGCTGGACACAACGGTCACGACAATACTTGTGACTCCAGATGTGGTTGTACCAGGTTCAGTGCTCGCACTAGCAGGTTGCGATCGGGCCGACGTTGGGGTAGGTGTAACCACGGGAGATGCCGTTGAGCTATCTACAGAGGCTGTGGTGGCGGTTAAGGTCGGGCTCAAACTTAAGGATGAGAAATGCGATGTAGATGAGGAAGATGGGGTATCTGAAGGCTGTGCAGAGGTAACATGGAGCGTATCTGCAGAATTTGGGTGCCAACGAGGGCGAGAATGAATGGGTGGAGAAAATAACGATGAAATCAAGTCAGAAAATTTGGCTCACTTTGTGTAGTGCTACGGGTAGCAGACTGTGTCGGAGTCTCGCTAGCGGTTGCAGTAGGCGAAGCAGAAGTCTGTGAATCTGTAGGTGAAGTTGATAAATTGCTGGTGGTGGTTGGGTCGTTGCTGACTGTCGTTGGTTGACCACTCGTCGATTCAGAACTACTGGTACCCGTTGAAGATTCTCTGTTCGTTGTCGTTTGTTCTGCCGTCGATGTTGTTTCAGGTGGCGCCGAGGTTGTTGGCCTAAGGCAAAACAAGCATAGGATCTGCAATCAGATTCACCACAGCAAAACATTCGGTGACATACCGCGTGGAAGATTCAGGCTCAGTAGTAGTCTGTCGGCGCGAACTAGTAGGCCCCGCGGTGACTGAAGAGCCTGCTTCAGTTTGGCTTGCTGAGGCGGTCCCACGGGTGGTGGAGGTTTCAGCGGCCTGGGTAGTCCGACGAGTTGTAGGGGTCTCGCTTGGCTGGGCTCCGCCATCGTCAGAAGAGGATGGGCCCTGCCTGGGGAAAATCGAATGCTGTTGGCATATAAAAAAAAAAGACTCAGTCAGGCTCAACGATCAGGAAAATGCCTCGTTGATTTCGATGGGGGTAACTTGTGTCAAACAAGATTTATGGGCTAACATACCATTTTGCCTCAGCAGACACACTGATGTCCCTTGAACGCCTGATCAACATGGTAATCAATACGTACTCGGGTCTCGGGTGGTGGCACCCCGCTAACTTACCAACGGGAGCAACAAAGTGAGAGGCCAAAATAAGGTATAATCTATCCGTGCTATATCGTGATGATTAGGCAGTTGTTAATCGCCTCATGTGTTGAGCCAAGTAAGGTATATTAAATAGCCACGCACATGGGGTTCAGCAGATAGGTTTTGTGGGCAATCGCAAGATGGCCAGATCCACATTACATCATAACGGCGGTTTTCCCACGTGACAATTGAAGGACAAAGCAAGTCCAAATGCACCCACAGCCTCTGCAAGTTCGCTGACGCATATAATTACTAACGATTTCATTTAGCTAGTATCCCAGGCATAACAGACCAGGTCTAAGTGTTCTATCAATCAGTATGGATCAGACGCCAGACTCATCCTTCCCAGTCATCAGTTATATTTTCTCTTCATACCTGGTATGTATGCACCGTGATAACTGTGTTGTGTTCACTTCCCACTCATCCGCTAGATGCATTTGGTAAAACATGTGAGAAAGCCTTCATTTCAACTTTTGAACCGCAGCGAGCGAGCAGACGGGGTAATACATATCGCGAGTTGATAGGGGAGGTGTTTTGCTCGAGCGCCATTGTTCAACCAACCTCGGCTCCCATAGCATTGTTTCAAATTCCTCATTCATACCGTATGGGATCCGCTTTGCCCACATCAAACATATTTGTGATAGGCATTGGCCTTTTAGCGATAGCTCTGCCTTGGCCCAGCGAGATGCGGAGACTTACGCCCCACGTTTATGTGGCATGATAAATGACGGTCTGGAAACTCGGTTTGAAATGTCCTAGTTTGTTGCGAGCCTGAAGCCGCCACATGTAGTTGTTCCGCCGGGAGGTGTTTGATCACAAGCTGAACATACACCACAGCCTGCCTAAGCAATCTCCCAACATAATGTGAGGAGTTGAGCTATGACGAACGCCCTCTGCGCCCAACAGGCAAAGGCTTGGTGCGCTCGGTGTAGTGTATTGGTCTTGCGCAACCCGGCGTATTGTTTAGTTTCAGCCGCTACAGTTTTGAGCCACAGACACGTGACATTGGACGGGCTTGACAGTCACCCCTTTTCCCTCATGCTCGGAACCGAACAGTCGCTTTTGCTCTCTTCCACAATTTCTTCTGGCTCTTGCCAGCTGCCGAGATCACACTATATCAAGGGAGCCAACTGGTATATGCGTGGCATGTACGGACAGCCACAGGTAATCCTTCAGGTTGAATTGCCATCCCCACCAAAAGTCATGGCGAATATAAACCCGCGAGCGGTGAGAAAAATCTCTTTAAATAGCACACCGATACTCGGTTTAATATTCCACCCTCCCACTCTCGTTCTGTGGTTCTGTAGAGTATAGACGAGCTGGACGCGATGAAAGACTACCGTCGCATGCTATACCGCTTGGATTTGGCCACGTCGTTCAGGTCAATAGACGCTTTGCTCTTGCATTTCATGGACGAAACCCCCCTTGACGGCTTCATCGAGATTCGAGTTCATAGTGTATACCCTACATCTGACGCTTCTGTCGATGTGTCTCCTACCCCCAGCGCTCGCCTATCGTTTTATCGAGAGACCCCGACCGGGCAAGTCATCGCAGACCGACTTTTCGAACCCGCCCAGAGCACATCGGAGAAGGACGCTGGTTTGCTGTACAGACAGCGGTATATTGTAGCCAAACGATTTCCACCGGGTACATTACTCTCTAACGCCTTCAATCCCATCATTCAGCCGTTGTTGAGAGGTAAGTTCAGTGCGCATCGTTTGCTTTCGTTACTAAGTTTCAATCCACTTTCTCATCCACAGGGAATCGCTCAACATTGGTGTTCGAATACAGGGCTTTCCTACTTCAACCGGATCCCACATCGTCGGATCCACTTGATGAGTCTGAGATTGTGAGCCGTCAAGCGCCTCACAAGCTGATGGTGGGTTACATTGGCCGGTCCGAACGGGGCGCACTAGCCGCTTACCAATTGGATGATAACGTCGCTCGCACGACCTTTCTTGACATGAATCCCATGGCGTTTCATGTAGGTCCTGCTAACAAAGACTTGGGGAGGGAGTGTGTTATTGCTTAAGGACTCTTCTTGCATTATGGTGAGCGTTCATGTTCATTCCGATTCAGAGCGGACTAATCAAGAACAGCAGTGTTTTTTTTTCCATCTTGGTCACCAGAATCTCTACTATCTCATCCACATTATTTTATTCCGCAATTTGTAGCGATCATGCAACTCTTTCCTCATGGTGTCAGCGGTTCAGTTTTGTGGTTATGGATCACTTGGCTATACATGCGACACCCATTATTTTCACGACTCCATTAATGAGCACATGTAGAAATCTTGGCAGCAAACTACCCGTATATTGCTATGTAATACCGAACAATTTCTTGGATAATTCACACGGATTGTTGGCGCCTTAAGCAAGTGGCGGTGCTACTTGGTTGAAAGTGGAAAAATGTTTGTCCCCACCGTGAATCGAACACGGGCTGCTTCGGATCTGGCTTCAGTGGAACCACAACGAAGCGTCATAACCACTAGACCATAGGAACTTGTTATGCATCTCCTCGATAACCACTACAACTGTGTTGGAGCTACCGCACTATGACTGACGGTAATCTTCATTTGCCACCTGCTCTTGTCCACCACACTCTCCCATATGGGTGTGTTGAATATAATCCCGCTTCTCCGCAAGAAATGGTATGTTACCACATTATGACTTTCTACTGAGATTATTTACTCCTGTCATTTGTCACAAGTCCCCAGATAATCGAGACTCTTCCTAGCCGTCTTCAGGCGTTGGAAGGAAAAACAATTGCAATGTGAGTGAAGGGTTGCTTCGTTCATACACTATTTTGAGAAGACCCTCTTTCTTCAATCTAGGGATGGCACGCTCATCACTCAGCGTTTGCATTTTACTCCGGACCCTCGCCCCCATCGGCACATCCTTGGATGGTATCAACTTATCGCAGAGTTGCGTCAGCATAACATCAAGGTTATTTGTGTATTTGATGGCAAAGGTCGCATTGCTGCTAAACAAAACGAAGTGGGTTTTATTTAGCCATTTAACTCGTCGCCTACTTTGACAATCACTTTGGTCACTCTTAGGTAGCACGTCGAAAGCGGGTACGGCTTCAGGCTAAGGTCCGAGGAGAATGGGAGAAGTCGCGCCATGAAAGGCTGTTGGAGCTCACTCGTGTCTTGCAAGAACTAGAGTCCATGCCCGACGAGGATCAAAGGGAGGTTCTGATTAACTTGCAACTCGAAAGGGAGTCAGGCTCTCTGCCAGTGTTAAAAGAGGAAGAAGACATAGTGGCGGACATTCCTGTCGTTCTTCTTCCCTCCCAACCGCCTGCCGCGGATACACCTACTTTGACTCATCTAGAGCATGACCTAACTGCCACACCGACTGTCCTGGAATCGAAGCCTCCTGCCGCGGAGTCTAGTGAACCAACCACAGTCGATATCCCTGTCGATACTACTGGTGATGTTTCTACTGTTACAGAGCTTCCAAAGCCTGCCGCCGCCCCTGGGAAGACCGCTGCGCATGCCGAGCTATCTGAAACTATGGCCAGTGATGTCGGACCGCCTGAAGCCGACATTCGCCTCGTGGATGAACCAAAGCCAGTAAAAAAGGACGCTGCTGAGAAAGCCCCGCCTACTGTTGAAGTAACCGTCGAACCGACTTCAAGTGATAATCAAACTACCACTCCTAGCGAATCTTCTGGGACCCCATCACCACCTTCCTCCACAAAACGCCCCCACGACCCCAGTTCTGACGGTCTAGCCCTCAATCTAGGAAGCCCTAGTGATCCTACGGCTACTAAGGACGACCCCACATCTGCTGCACCGACCCCCGATTCCGCTTTATCTAGCGATACAATAGCCAAGCCAGAGATAGGTGGCACAGACGCCGGCGATCATCCAACTCTTATCACGCCCGACAAGGCAAGTGATCACATATGCTTATGCGGACGTTGCCTGACCCATATTTAGGCGCAGGCGGAGCCACTCGATTTGTCACCAGGTCCCGAGGCCAGCAAACACCTTTCCAGTGTCATTCTCGACCTTCATAACCACTATATCAAGACTAGCACGACCGGTTCCAACGGGTTGATCAGCGCATTGACTGAAGAATCAAGTTCACCGGATGTGCCCGATATCCCGATATCAAAAGTCCAACTCAAATTTACACAAGCCGAATCTGAGCTCTGGAAGGAAATTGTCCCCACATCAAGTGATACTAAAGTGGATATTGCGCGTGTTTCAGAGCTCGTCCAACAGTTTGCTTTGGTTGAATTGCCTAGTGAAGAATCGGTTGAGCAGGAGGAGGTAGCAGCGGAGGCGGCAAATGTGATTGTAGAGGCGGCAGAACAGGAAGATCCAATGAGCGAACGTTCTGCTCAACTGGAAGAGCAATCCGGCCGAATGGTCGCCTCTCTTCTGCGACGCTCGGATCCTCCTACCTCTTTGACTTATGCCGAGTCTCGTCTGATCTTGGAAGCGATGGGTGTCCCTTGTGTTCAAAGTTATATTCCATTTGAGGCTGAAGCACTGGCATCTAGCTTGGTCCTCAATGGTTTGGCCGACTTTGTAGGAAGTGAGGACACCGTGCGTTATTCTCTCTTTAACACTTGATCTTAACTTATCGCCCATCTGTCCATTTCAGGACGTTTTGATGTACAACGCCCCTCTTCTCCGAAACTTGACCGACCGGAAAGTTCCTCTCCAAATAATTCCCCCTTCGACAGAGGTCAGCCTTGGACTAACACGCTCCGCCTTTGTGGACACAGCAATCTTGATGGGGACCGACTTTGTCAGAAAGCTGGAGGGTATCGGCCCGATGACAGCGATTCGTCTCATGCACAAGCATGGGTCTATCGAACGAATGCTCGAGGAAGAACCCAAGTTCCGTCCGGCGGATGTTGCCGAGTATATCGACGAGGTGGGAGATCATCTTCACATGCTCTTATTGTAACTCTGCCTTTGACGCTCCGCCATCCAGGTTAAAGTTGCCCGTTCGATATTTAGCACTCTGCCACCTGTGCCGGCAGCGGAGTATATCGCCCAAGGCTCCTGGGACGAGCAGGCGATACAGGAGACTATGGCGCGATTCGGGTTGCAGAGATACGCGGAGGAGATCATCCCGAATGCGTTGGCAGACAATTACTTTAACGACGACCCCTCGTCGGACATCAAAACACCGTGAGCTGCATTTCTTGTAATACCTACCACCTGTATCGTCCCTAGCTTGCTCTAGCTGTATTATGGCTACTGTTTGGCCTATTCTCCTGAGTGATGTTACCTCGTTGTGGTGGTCATGGGACCCAAGTGAGCATCAGCTGTGCACCGATTCGGTGCGTTTAGCTTCCTCGCACTAGTCGGTTAATTAGCCCCCTCTATCAGATTAGAACCATCTAAGGGCGAACAAAAATAAGACCTTACTCCTATTCGAGCGCGCTTGGAACGCCACGCCAACGCATACATTGGCGTTCTCGCAGTTACTCACAAGCTAATTCAAAGGCCTAGCTGGCAATCAGGTCCACAGCACAGATAAACACAGAACCTAATATCGATATTATACGCAACAATATACGCGAAATCATAGAAAGGAGCCAAACCTGTGGCGGAATGCAGCATGTGCACGGTTGCTCACAAACCCAACGCGCACATGCTCCCATTCGCGCGGCACTCACTCTACCACGTCGATGTAAAGCCCTCGTCGAGGTAATCGCTGCGCAAACGAATAGAGTTAGTAACCCGACTCCTAGCCCCTAGTAGGTCATAACGCAAGTCACTCACCTGAGTCCCAAATCCCTTGCCTTGGCGCGCAACTCGTGGTGGTCCGACTCATTGCCGTATGCATCAGGGGCGTACAATCCAGTGCGCACGTTCTCACTCACAGCAACCAGCGGGTTCGTGTTCACGTCCATGCCTATCAGAGGGGCCATTTCGGTCGAGTCGGTAGGCAAACCCACGCGGCCTGGGGGACGACGGCTGCTACTACCGCCACCTTCACTAGCGTCTTGCGCAGAAGGATTGGGGCCGGACGTGCGAGGTGTTGAAGTGTTGCTTTCGGAATTGCTTACCGTGGATGTCGGCTGGGCACTGGACCCCCGAGCCTGGTGCGGGCGCGAATTAATCACCTCGTCGGCCGTGGTGGACGACACCGCGGTGCCCCGAGGGGTTGGCCTCGCGGCTCGTCTCTGTGCACCCTCAACGTTGCTAACTGACGGTGGTGGCGGGCGATCTGATCCCTCCCGAGTCGAGCGGATGCTTCCGCCTAGATCTTGACGTCGCTGAGGTTGGCGTGGTCTGACATCAGCGGAGGAGGCAGACGCATTCTGCTAAACAATAGATTTGCGTGTCAGTAGCTGCTCTTTCAACTTTACGCCTTTGGGAAGCTCACATGACTGCGTCCTTTCTCGAGAGCAGCTCGCGAGTGATTTGGGGCAACTTCTTTTGTGGATGAGCGTTTCTTCTTTCGTGGGGCTGTCGTCGTATCCTCAGTAGGCGCTCTGGACGACGAAGCAGGGGAAGACAAGCGAGAGGACTCCTCTGTCGCGGCGCGCTTTTTGCCACGACTGTATAGAAATTCTCCCTGCAAAATGAAATGGCTCAGTATGATCCCTGCGCACAGTTTTTCATGGGGTAACGCTGAAAAGGGCACTCTCCCCGTGCCAAATGGGCCTGAGAGCAAATGAGAACCAGTAGCAAGTACAAAGGCTCATATAGACAGTCTATGCGGCTCAGTCGCAGCTGACGAGACACAAAGGCCAGTCAATCGGGGAAACACAGCAAGTGACGTTGGTGATGTCAGCTGCCAGGCGAAAACCGCGCATACACTGCAGCCGAGACAAAAGTGGGCGTCTTCTTGGAGCTGCCGATGGGCAGAGAACACCGAGGCCAAAAGGGGTATAAAATGTGAAAACAGGGTGTCGCCACCCCTTGAATGGTAGCAAGGGACTAACCTTGCCATCACCACTATGCTGCCGTGTTACGACAAACCCATCTATGATTGGGTCAAAGTAGTCTTGCTTTTTCCGGTAGCGGTTACGCCAGGACTGCCAAGTGTGACCCGCGGCCCATGGGTACACGTCTGTCTGAAGGCCGAGAACGCAGAGCACCACGCGGTGATGTCCAAAAATGCGAAACGTAAGTTGAATGGTCATCATCACACTAGGCAGGCGTTCCTTACCCTATCACATAAGTCTTTGTACAGGTTGTTCCCTGTGCGGCCTCCTTCGGACTTATCTGGGATGCGCTTTGCGATGAATTGGGCAAGGCAGGTGTCGTCTTCTGCCGTAAAGTCATTACGCCTTATTCATATACGCGCATCGGAGTGAACCGTATGTGTGTTAGTTGACTGACCCGATGAATCGATCGTGAACGCTGCTCACTCTGCCCCAGGTTTTCGTCCGCCCATGGGCGCTTTTTCAACAGGGTCATGAAAACATCTGCCTTTTGCTAAACATCGTTCGACCCACGATTCGGGCTCGACGTAAACGCTCGTTGAATGTTCATCTATTTGAATTAATAAGTTTTCAGTTAC